TTTCCTCCACAAATCTTATTCACACCCTCCCTCCCCCCTCCCCCCCGCGTCTCTCTCTCTTTCTCTCCACCCCCCCCCATCCCGGGACTCTCTCCACTCCTCCCCCCCTCCCCCCGTGTGTCTCCCTAACCCCCTTCTTTCTCCCCCTCCCCCCCCTCTACCTAGACTCCCCTGAAATATTTATCCAGAAAAAAATCCAGGAAAATAGATCAAGAAAATCTAGGAAAAAGGTAAAGAAAATTCCGGGGGAAAAATGTCAAGAAAATTCGAGAAAAAAAGAAAAAAAAAAGCAAATTCCCATTTCCTACGACGAAATGTAATATATATATATATATATATATATATATATATATATATATATATATATATATATATATACACGGATAAGTACACGAAAGAAAAGAATCCTATAACGGATGTTGATAACAGTAATAATAGTAATAATAATAATAATAATAATGATAATAATAATAGTTATACACGTTCTCAAAAAAAATTGTCTTCAGATAAAAGCCTACTTAACACTTCCTCCCTCCCCCCTCCCCCCTCTCCCCTCCCCCCCTCCCTTCGCGGATTCTTACCATCCCCCACCATCGTCCCCCCAACCCCTCCCCCCCTTCCCCCTTCCCCTCCCCTTTCCCCCTACCATCATTTCCCCAACCCATTCCCTCCCCCTTCCCCCACACCCACCTCCCCCACCGCTATCATCCCCCCTAACCCCCTCCCCAACCCCTTTCCCATTTGGTCACCCCCCACCCCTCCTTCCCCCCACCACCCTCCCCCCCACCCCAACCCCTACCTCCCCCACCCCTATCATCCCCCCCAAACCCCTCAACCCCCCCCCCAAACCCCTTCCCCTCCCCATCCCCCTCTCCCCACTTTGATCACCCCCCCTCTCCCCTCCCCACCCCTCCCTCCTACCCCCCAACCCCCCACCTCCCTCCCTCCCTCCACCCCCACCCCCCCACCTCCCCCCCCACCTCGCCGTCGCCACCCCAGGGCAACGGCAGCTGCAGGTACGTCTCGGCGAACGGCGTGAAGACCGGACCGACGTCGGGAACGGCCGAGAGCGAGAGCGAGATGAACGCCTACCAGCCCATGCTCACCTCCTTGCCGCCCGCCACTCACAACCACCACCTCGACACGAAGGTTAGAAGGGTGGGGGGAGAGGGAGGGGTGGGGGGAAGGAGGGGGAAGAAGAGGGGGAGGGGTGGGAGAGAGGGAAGGAGAGAGAGTGGGAGGGAGTGGGAGGGAGGAAGAGGGGGAAGGAGGGGAAGGGAGGGAGAGGGGAAGGGGAGAGGTTTAGAAGGTTAGAAGGGGGAGGAGGGGAAGAGGGAAAGGGGGAAGGAGGGGGAAGAAGAGGGGGAGGGGTGGGAGAGAGGGAAGGAGAGAGAGTGGGAGGGAGTGGGAGGGAGGAAGATGGGGAAGGAGGGGGAGGGAGGGAAAGGGGGAAGAAGGAAGGAGGGGGAGGATGTGGGGAAGGTGGGAGGGGAAAGGGGAAAGGAGAAAGGGGAGGGGAGGGGGGGAAGGAACTCTATCTATCTATCTATCCACACACAACCACCACCTCGACACGAAGGTTAGAAGGGTGGGGGGAGGAGAAGGAGGGGGAGAGAGAGGGAGAAGGAGAGGAAGGGGAGAGAGAGGGGGAAAGGGGAAAGGGGAGAGGGGAGAGAGAGGGGGAAGAAGGGGGTATGAAGGGGGAGGGAGAGGAGGGGAGGGGGAAGGAGGGGGAGGGACGGTATGGAGGGGGGAGAGAAGGGAGGGGGAAAGTGGGTGGAGGGGATAGGGAGAGGAAGGGAGAAAGGGAGGGAAAGGAGAAGGGGAGGGGAGAGTGGGCGGGGTGGGGGGGGGGCAGGGGGAAGAGTGGACTTTTAGAGGATCCACAGGTCGTAGATGAAAAAAAGAAAAAAAAAACTATATGTGTGTGTATCATCTTATCATCTATATGTATGTATGTATGTATGTATGTATAAGGGAGAGAAATACAGAGAATTAGAGATAATAAAAGTCGATTGAATGTCTGTATTTTCTAGATGTCGTAAAAATCCTTTTTTTTAATATCTGATATATTTTTTTTTTCTAATCATCAACCAATTATAGTTGTTACTAATATTCTCATGAATTTATTACTGTCATCATTGCCATTGTTATTATAGTTGTCAGTTGATCATCTTCAATTGCATCTTTATTGTGTTATCCTTATGATAATTATTATTATTGCTTTTCGTGTTGTTGTTAATATTATTATCATCATCATCATCGTCATCATTATTATTTTTGTTGTTGTTATCATTATCGTCATCATCACTATCATCTTCATCATCATTATTATTATTATTATTGTTATTATCATTATTGCTGTTGTTGTTCTTATCATCATTATCATCACCGGTATTGTTATAATCATTTTTATTATTATTATTATCATTACTATTATCATTATCATCATTATTATTGTTGTTATTATTGAAGTTATCATTATCATTATTATTATTAC